CTGAGCAATCTACTTCTGTAAAGATTTACTGCCTTGGGAACCCAAAGGGGGTTGCTATGAGTCAGAATCAACTCGATGGCAGTGAGGTTTTTTTTTTTTTTTTTTGGTACCAACAAGAATGGGTCAATGTTCAACTCTACCAGGAGACAGCATATGATCAAGAACTAACAGTAATGAAGGAAGAAGTCCAAGCTGCACTGAAGGAATTGGTGAAAAACAAGGCTCCAGGAATTGATGGAATGAATACCCATTGAGATATTTCAACAAATGGATGCCACACTGGAGGTACTTACTCGTTTATGCCAAGGAATTTGGAAGACAGCTACCTGGCCGAGTGACTGGAAGAGATCAATATTTGTGCCCATTCCAACAGAATTTGTAAATTATTAAACAATATCATTAATATCACAGACAAGTAAAATTTTGCTGAAGATAATTCAAAGGCAGTAGCAGCAATATATTGACAGAGAACTTCCAGAAATGCAAGCTGGATTCAGAAGAGGAGGTGGAAGGAGGGATATCATTGCTGATGTCAGATGGATCTTGGCTGAAAGCAGAGAATACCAGAATGATGTTTACCTGTGTTTTATTGACTGTGCAAAAGCATTCGATTATGTGGATCATAACAAATTATTAAACATTGAAAGGATTCCAGAACACTTGATTGTGCTCATGAGGAACCTGTACATAGACCAGGAAGCTGTCATTTGAGTAGAACAAGGGGATACTGCATGGTTTAAAATCAGGAACGATATGCATCAGAGTTGTATCCTTTCCCCATACTTATTCAACCTGTGTGCTGAGCAAATAATTCGAGGAGGTGGACTATATGAAGAATGTGGCATCAGGATTAGAGGAAGATTCATTAACAACCTGTGGTACGCAGATGACACAACCTTGCTTACTGAAAGTGAAGATGACTTGAAGTACTTACTGATGAAGATCAAAGACTACAGTCTGCAGTATGGATTACACCTCAACATAAAGAAAACAACTGGACCAATAAGCAATATCGCGATAAACAGAGCAAAGATTGAAGCCATCAGGTATTTCATTTCACTTTGATCCACAGTCAACACCCATGGAAGCAGCAATCAAGAAATCAGATATCATACTGTACTGGGCAAATATGCTGCAAAAGACCTCTTTCAAGCACTAAAGAGCAAAGATGTCTCCCTGAAGACTACGATGCTCCTAACCCAAGCCATGGTATTTTCATTTGTCTCATATGCAAGTGAAAGCTGGACAACGAACAAAGAAGACCAAAGAAGAGTTGATGTTTTTGATTTGAGGTATTGGTGACGAATACTGAAGGTACCACGGACTGCCAGAAGAACTAACAGATCTAGCCTGGAAGACGTGCAGCTGGAATGCTTACTGAAAGTGAGAATGGCCAGACGTTGTCTCACCTACTTTGGTCATGTTATCAGAAGGGACCAGTCCCTGGAGAAGGGTATCATGGTTGGTAAAGTGGAGGGTCAGTGAAAAAGGGGAAGGCCCTCCATGAGATGGACTGACACGGTGGCTGCAATGGTGGGCTCAGGTACAGCAAGGATAGTGAGGATGATGCACAACCGGGCAGTGTTTCATTCTGCTGCAGAGAGTGTCTGTGAGTTGGAGCCAACTCGATGGCACCTAACAAGAAGAAGGTTAGGAAAGGGTGTGGGGGGGTGATCCATGGTCTGACTGCCACTGTGATCTAAGGAAGAAGACAAGTGTGCACAGACAGATGGAGTCTATAGTGCTCAGGAGATCCCAGATGGAGAGCCAGCGTCCAGCCCCGGAGAACATTCCAGGGGTGGCAGGTGCCTTCCCACAGCACCTTACACACCTGTGCACTGCCTAAGGTTTCCCACCAATCAGGCATGACTGCACCTATGGGAAAAAAGCCACCAGGGCACATGGAGACCCACACACCAGTGCTCACTGCAGCACCATTCACAAGGGCCAAGAGGTGGAGACAACCCAAGGGCCCATCTGCTAGACTATGGATGAATGCAATGTGGTCCATTTGTGCAATGGAATAGGCTTGAGCCACAAAGAGAAATAAAGTTCAATACATGCTAGCACACGGATGATCCTGAAAACACGCTGAGTGAAGTAAGTCAGCCACAGAAGGACACATACTCATGATCCCACTTACATGAAATATCTCCAATAGGCAAACGCAAAGATACAGAAAGCACATTCGTGGTGACCAGGGGCTGGGGAGAGGGGGTTACTGCTTAATGGGGACAGAGCTTGCTCCCTCTCTCCTCCCTTCCTCCCTCTCTGCTCTTCTCCTTCGCTCCCTCCCTCCCTCCTCCCCTCTCTCCCTTCCTTCCTTCCTCTCCTCCCCTCCCTTCATTAGCCTGTTGGAGCCCTGGCCCACTTTTTTTCCTACTAGGTCCTTCTTCCATTATTGATTATTGATTTGTGTTGTTAGTTGCCATTGAGCTGATTCTGGCTCCTGTCAACGCCACGTGACAGGGCAGAACTGCCCCCCAGGGTTTTTAAGGCTGTGACCTTTTGGAAGTAGGTCACCAAGCCCATCTCCTGAGGTGCCTCTGGGTGAGTCCGAATGGCCAGCCTGTTGGCTACTCATCGAATGCTGAACCATTTGTGTGACCCAGCCACCTAACATTGACTTGTGGGAATTCTTTATAAATTCTGGGCACAAATCTTTTGCTGGTTATATATGTGGGCAAATACCCTCCCCGCTCTCTTTATGGCAAAAGCTTTTTGTGTCTTGTTTTAAAAACCTTTCTAGCACATTCTTCTATGTATCATTTATTAATTGAATAAAGCGTTCCTGGTCTGGAAAATGAACACTGGTAGGATCATCATGTGGGTGAGCACTTGCCCTGGTGCAAAGGAGGGCTGGGGCTGGCCCTGACCAGCTCCTCAGAGCTGACTGTTAAGTCTTGAGGAATTCTTTGAGCTGGTTGGCTTCTCACATTGGTAGTATGTAATCAAACAAACACAAGTCAAGCCATTCCAACTCAACCCAATCCAAACCGAATCAACTCAACCCAACCCAAGTCAACTCAATCCAATCCAACCCAACCCAAATCAAGCCAACTTAACCCAACCCAAGTCAACTCAACCCAACACAACTCAATGAGGGCTTCCTCCCATTCCACCTCCTGGGCCCGTCATTCTCCAGCCCTTGTCCTAGTTGCCCCAATCGCCCCTCACCACCAGGCCTTCTCTGATCAGTGACTTGTCACTCCCTGCTGTCAGGGCACCTGCTGCTCCTTGGCTGCCCACTGGCATTGCTGATTCATAGTACACCTGCCACAAGCCCACCTGCTACCCTTCCCTCACATCTGAACCAGGAGCAGAGGACTCGGAGCCGGTTGTCACCATTTACCAGCACACCACTGCCTGAGGGAAAAGGAGGGCAACTTGGCCAGTCCTCAGGTTTCTTTTTTTCTTGGACTCATATGGCTCCGTTCTCTAGGGTAGCTACGGATGCTGGAGGCAAATTGTCCAACATTGTAAACAAGAGATTAAAAGCAAGACAAGAACAAAACAAAACAAAAAACTCTCAATAGTTTGAAGCAAAACGAGGAAATAAGGGACTAAACAGAAGATAGAGGATGAGTAGACAGTTAAAGAGGAAGAAAGAAAATGTGAATATGACCAAAATAAGTGAAGGAATGGAAGTTGACTTGCCTCAAGTGAAACTCAAATTATTGTTACAAATTATTTAACTTTTCATTATGGACATGTTGAACATATACAAATGTAGGAAGAATACTCAAAGATACCCATCTACATACACATCACCCAATCCCATCCCACCTACACACCCCGCCCTCCCCCTCCTCCAATATCAACACACCACCATGCAGTCCCATCCCACCTACATAGCTCTCACCCCCACCTCCAATACCCATACACTTACTTCTGAACTACGACCTTTTTCTTTGTGTCACATCCAACTGAAATGAACATCACCTACAGAGAAAAGACACAGAGGCGCTGACCCAAGGAGCGACAGTGAGAGCCCCACCACAGTGAAGACCCACACGGGGCACATTCACGGCAGGAGGCTTTGGAAATTGTGCTGCCTGGATCCTCTTACAAGGTGACTCAAAGGCCTAGCTGTTGTTGTTGTTGGGAGCCAGGCAGTTTATTTTTGATTCACAATGGCCCCATGTGACAGAGTAGAACTGCCCGCACACAGTTTCCTAGGCTGTAATCTTTATGGAGTCAGTCGCAGGGACACAGGTAAGGGTGGTACGAGAGGTTTCCAACAGGGAGATAAACTTGTCTGTTGGTTTGTCCTACAGTGGTGACGTGTTGATGTGAGTTTTGAGGCTGAGCCACTGGTGTTTCAAACCCAGCAGGATGCACATGGTGTACAGGTATCAGCCCAGCTTACAGACTGAGACAAACTAGGAAGAAGGAGGAGGCCATCTACTTCTCAAAGAATTGGCCAGGGAAAACCTTATGAATAGCGAAGAAACACTGTTTGATATATTACCGTGCAACTTTATGAATAGTATGGTTAGGTTAGAAGGCTCTCAAAATAGGACTGGGAAAGAGCTGTATCATCTGAGTAAACCCAGCCTTACTCATATGGATAAGGTAAAGCTTTCGAGACCACCATTTGCTGATGTGGCCCCACTCAAATTGAAGAGAAACAGCCACAGACATCCATTAATCGTCAGAACATGGAAGTATGAAGTATGAATCTAGGAAAACTGGAAGTTGTAAAAAAAAAAATGGAATGCATAAAGACTGATATCCTCAGCATTAGTGAGCTGAAATGGACTGGTTTTGGCCATTTTGAATCAGACAACCATATGATCTACTATGCC